CTCAACTCATCCACACCCTCACCCTCACCCCCCACCCTCCCACCAACATCCACACACCCACACCCCCACCCACACCCACACCCACACCCACACCTACACCCACACCCACCCACACCCACACCCACACCCCACCCCACCCACACCCTTCATTTCTTCCAACCTCTACCTAAAAGATTGAAATTGATTTGCGACAATGGTATTGCGAAACACTGCTCGGAAGTGAGCATCATGTTTTCTTTGTTCTATGAATGTCAGCACTTATCTTCCTCTTACTCATCGAAAGTGTGACAGAACTGTTACAATCAGTCGGAAGAAAAAAAATCCAAAAGAGAAGAATTGAAAATTTCTCTGACATATATAGCACCATTTTTGGAAAAGAATCTACACACAAGTCATTTTCTGACACGAATAACATGACTGCGTATTTGCAACACAATAAAATTGGTTTACGCGATCTAACTGTCGCAGTAACCGTGCCTGACAATGATATAGCTCGGCTCATGTACTATTTTGAGTCCGTCTGTTATACAATTGAATACGATGATAGTGATGTTCAACGTTATCGTAACTATGCATATTGGTCATCATTGTCGCACGAGGAAGTTCGTGTATTGTTCGCTCTGTGTTCGACTCTTAGCCCTGATGTGTTCAATAACAAAATATTCTTTCAATCGGATGCCTTGTGTGAAAACTTTGGTAATCACTTTTATGAAATTAGTCAAATTCGACATCAATTGTTGGTCGTTGAGTCGATTTTTGTCGCAGGTCGGACACGTCAAGTCAATAGAATCATGGCCTATAAAGCGAATTGGATGGAACAAAATTACTATGGCCCAATGCGACGGCTTCGCCAACGTTTAAGTTCTACACCATCACGAAAGTCGTCCAGTTGCGTTATTTCATGATAGATAAGACATTGTTTTTTTATGTTGAATAAATCAAATCAGAAACCAATAAGGCTTCAGCCCCCCCCCCCCCACTCAAAAATCGATTTCGGCTCCGGTACATGCAAATCGCATGAAATTTTCAGGATATGTT